CGCTACCGGCCGACGATCTTTTTTAACTCATTGCGACGTTTGTCAGCGTCGTTCGTGCATAGCGTGCGCCAGTGGAAATCGATAATTTGTTTCATTAGTACTACATATTATTAGGAATAATGACACTTGATTATGTTACTAATCTGGTTTTATCTGATCTTCCAGAAATAGAGTAAAAATACAAATTACTTTGATTATTTGGATTTCGATAGCAATTACCTTCTTATGATAATGAATGATTATTTTATGTATCACTAATATTTTGATTAGACCACTTGAAATATTTTTATGAGAAAAAATACTAATCGATTCTAGCTTAATCAAATGGAGCAAACTATCATAATGTCCAGAAGTAGGCTACCTATATTCTTTTATATTGATAAGCGATACCTTATCGCGTTAAGCTGGTTTATAAATATTTTTATAATAACGTGTATACTAATTAAAATTATTAACTGTAGTTAATTATGCTATGCACATAACTTTGTTATTTTAAGTTTCGAATTTAAAAACTTCACTACTTAATAGGTTAATACAGAATCTACGTTACTACCTAACAACAAGCATTTTTTTATAATATACTTGTATCTGATAAGACAAGGAATTATATAATCACATGTAGACAGTACTCGCTATAAAATTAAACACAATTATGTTACCTTCTTAATAATACACAAAGCATCTTGCTAAGTCACACAGTACAGTTGTTTTTTATGGCAATACAAGCTGCTGACTGCAACTTCGTCCCCGCCATGGATTTTCAAAAGACGTTTAGTCTGTTTTCAAATGCAATATTTCTTTTCTGGACACTGGTGTATTATGTAAATGTCGTGTGTATTGCAGCGAGTGTGGCTGCAATCAGAGATTCCCAACGCGTTGCCGCCGCGGCCCGATGCGCCGCGCTGCGGGCCGGCGTTGGGCGCCCACGCTGCATTCTAAACAATTGATTACACGATCATACGTCGATTTCTGATTCACTAAACGCACCACAAACGTTTGTGTTGCAATGCAAATGTGTTGGTTGCAAGCTTTGTTGAAGATTTGTGTAAATCTTGTTCGAAAATATATTTTGTACCGTATTCTTCTAACCCCATCTATGATATTTCAATGCTAGTTTTATTTTTGTACTGAATTCTTATTAGAATCTTTTAAAAACATTGAAGTTTGTGTTTTACTTGCATATGCTAGTTATGTATAATATTATTAATAGCGTTATAAATACCTACTTGTTTTAAAACTTAAAAAAAAATTAAAAAACCCAAGTACGTTAAACAAATTACAAAGTTTTATTTTTGTCGTCATTTCAGATATCATAGGTTGGTGTCGGGAGAGTTTGTTTAGGCCGCGTACACACGATCGAGTCGGACGCTTATTGACACTTTAACGGTACGCGAAATCGTCGCGTTGCATAATCTAAGGGTCTATTACGAATGTTTGCGTGATAGTTTCGAGAACGTATTAGGTATGTCATCGACAAAAATTTCTGAGATTAAGTGTACTTTACGAAAATGTTCTCACGAATGTTCGCTATAATCCGCTGCTGTTTTTTTTATACATTTATAGCCATTTATAGCATTTAATTCGAATTCTTGATAGTTGAAATTAACTTATATTGAATGAATATTTCAATATTTGAGGCAAAAATAAACTTTTTTCTCCCAAGAAATTCACAATTTATAATAAATTCTAGTGTTTCCGCAAATTATGTCGAACACACTTATAATTATACAAGCAAATTACAAGAATAAATATTTTAAAAACATTTATTCAAGTTGCAACAATTGAGGGGAAATCCCGGGTATTTTAAACAATTTAATTTAAAATAGATTACAAAAATAAATATTATGTACAGATTAACATCTCCTAAAATAACATATTTATGAAACAAAATGAATATGTTATTTAAATTGTATAATAGAATATTATTTATGTTCAAACCAGTTTTTCGTTCCGCTTACTCTTAGTCACGTATTAGGACAGTCGCGGAGAAAAGTTTGTTTCTAAATATTTTTAAATGGCATTTCAAGTATAAGTAACAGTTTTATTTAACAATAGATAGTTATAATAAAGCATTGTTGATTAAAATATGCAATAAACAATCTTGCCATTAATCTTGATAATATTAAAAATGCGATAGTTTAGATGAATGGATGGATGGATGTTTGTTAAGGTTTGTAGCCTAAACTGCTGAGCGGATCTAGATGAAAATTAGCATAGATTCTTTTCTTTCGTTTTTTTTTTAATTCCATGCGAGGGAGTCGCGGTCGAAAGCTAGTAAGTTATAAATAGAAAAACAAGTCTTAAATTTATCTTTACTGTACTTACAAACTAAGAAAATGTAGCTGTGGATATTTAAACTTTATGTGAATATAAATAGAACTAAACCATGAAATATACGATGACAATTAACTGCGACTTAAGTCTGATTTAACTGAAATAAAAAAAAATCCTAACAATTTTCAACTCAAGTGTACTATTATAGCGGACAGTACTGAGTCAGCGAATGACCGACAGTAACAAATTCAGTCGGTGGCCGCAAACGCATGTTGTTTTAGGCCGTAGACAAACAGGGTGCATCGTGACCGGTGCTAACACTGTGTTTGCCTACGGTATTTATAGTACGGCCACGCTCTCAACCTGCCCATTGCCCATTACCCACTGCCCGCTGCCCACTGCTCACACGCCGGAATAATTAGCTCGTTATAAAAACCAGCACTTTGTGTTTTATATTCAAGTAAGGGTAACGAAAGCGCTGGTTACTTTGATAAGTGAATATTGCGGTCCAATGTCAGCTACATTCATTTTTAATGAGTAAAAGATAAAATTAAATTTTACAGATTACAAAGTCTAAAAACAACGTTGAATAATGATTGACAATTCAAACATCCACAGGCTAATTTTTTAAGTAATTTAGACTTCAATCATAAAGCAATTAAAAAAAAACCTTGGTATTCTTTGATAGTGAAATATGAAGGTATATTGAGTTTTCAAAATGTCGTTTATAGCGGATGCATCGACTTGTGTCGCCAACGGCTATCGATTAAACGGTGTAACCGGATTACAGTGACCGGCGGGTGAGTGGCTCGCCGGCTACTGGCCACCGGCCACCGGCTACCGTACCGCACCGTAATCGAGTCTGTTGCGTTACGGCACGTTATTAGATAATCAAAGGAAAAATGATATCGAAACCTAGAATATTGTAAAATGTAGAGTTATAGAACTGAAAGAAGACATCAATGATTTGACCAACCTTTCGACAAAATACTCTAGTACCTATAGTTATATGGAAAAATAGCTTTAGCCCGCGACTCCGTGGGCGTAGAATATAAAAAATCAAAAGTAGTTAGTAGTAGAGCCTATGTGTTCTTTCTGACTATTATCTACATTTATAAAATTAACACGATTATATATTAAAGGTCTTCGCTTACCAGAGAAAAGGGTAGAGAGATTATTACAGTAGAAACTAATTGACATCTAATTTACATTTTCAAGTTGCAATATCGAACATAGATTTATGTGTTTAGGGTGGAGTACTTCGCTATTCGTCTTAGTATAGAGTAGATGTAATCAAGCAAAGGCTTAATGACCCTCTTCTAATTGGTGGCTAAGATTTGGAGGCCTCGTCTTACATATTCATAGCGATCCAACCTTCGGGCAGGTGGCTTTAATTTATTCAAAGAGGCAACGGACATGCAAATTGCTGGAGAATATCGGTCATGTTTACGTCAGATTTGAGTGAAAATTATTGCGAATTGGCTTTCTGTTGTACGTTACCCTGTCCCCGAAGCTCCGGTTCACTAATTTATATATAGTACTGGTTGAATCTTACCTTTCATAATTTACGACTACAGTCAAGATGTAAGGGATTACGTTAAAAGCCATCTTGTTGCATAATGAATCTCTGTGTTAAATAATAATAAATTGATGCTTAATTAGTGAACGCTATGTATAAAATTGTTCTTTATTTATTTCTGAACCAAATCAGTAAGCTAGTAAGTTATATACGTCGCAGGGTAAACACACATTAAATTTTAATGTTATTTCAAAGTAACGTGGAAAGCCTTTCTTAAGTTCCTAATTTGTGAATTAACTGTATATGTAAATATTTAAACAGACATGGTAGACTTATTACAAAATTCCCGTATATTTTACTGTTAATCTTTTGTTAAAGATTATGTTATTTTGGATTGTAGCAATGTTAAGTTTGAAGCTTCAGCAACAATAATATTTACAATTGCAAGCCTAAGTCGAGGATTAGGTTAAGTTTGTTATCTTGTACCCTCGAGTTAGCATAACAGATGGCCATCTTACCCCTATTGGGGATCACTTGGGGCTACGGAAATCTCACTTAAGCAATTAACTTAAGTTAGAGCTACGCCGTAGCGCCGAAGAGTGTAGTAGTAGTAATATGAAAAAGCGTGTAAATGTACAGTAGAGATCATATTTAATACATGTTAAGGTTAAATAGCGGTTAAATGTTAGTTTTCAATACATTATATTTGAGTATCACGAAGTATTGTTCACTTCCGTATATTTCTTAGTAATAACTTTCTTTTTTCCATCACTTCTTCTGAATGCGATTTTGCGTATTATCGTTATTATTGTATAATCAATTAATTATTATAGACTATTCGCCTAATACTGAAACGAATCATAAACAGTTTAATTCGTAAGCGCCTTTAATAGTCTGACATCATAATATGAAAGAAAATTTAAGACGCTTTTAGATGTTTAAATGGCGTTTCAGTATTCGTCAGTAAATCTATTAGAATTTAATATCCGAATCAAATATAAATCACTATATATAGTCAAGATGTAAGACCAGTCTAATAACAATTTATTAGATGTCTAAGGGATATCCGTTTCGATTA